TGCAAGGGCCTTCTGGTTGTGTCATCTCATGGCAGAAGGCAGAAGGGCAAGGTGGGGTACAGGGGTAGAGAGACAGAGAGTGGCATAAGGGGGCCAAACTTGTCCTTTTATAAGGAACCCACTCCTGCAATAATAGCATTAATACATTCATGAGAGAGGAGCTGTCATGGCTTAATCATCCCTTAAATTTCCCGCCTCTTAATACTGTGAAAATGGCAATTAAATTTCAATATGAGTTTTAAAAAGGACAAACATTCAAACCATAACACATCCCAAACTAAAATAACAAAAATATCCACCAACCGGTGAATGAATAAATGAATTATGTTGCATCCATACAGTGGAATACTCTTCACCTGTAAAAAGGAACAACGTATTAATACATGCAACAACACTGATAGACCTCAAAAGTATTATGCCAAGTGAAATAAGCCAGACAGGGAACTCTACATATTGCCTGATTCTATTTATGTAGCCTTCTGGAAAAAGCAACATTATGTTAACAGGAATCTAGTTTTTACTAGGGGCTGGGGTATTGAATACAGAGGGGTACCAAAGGAGATGTTTGGGGTGATGGGACTATTCTGTATCATAATTATGGAGGTGGTGGTTATATGCCAGCATCTATTCATCAAAAATTAATTGTATACCTAAAGTTAATTTCACTATATCGAACTTATAGCTCAATAAACCTAAGCTGAGGGCTGGCTGGTTAGCTCAGTTAGTTAGAGTGTGGTGTTGAAAACATCAAGGTCCAGGGTACAATCACTATACTGGCCAGCCACCAATAATTAATAATAATAATAGTAATAATAATGATAGTAATACCTAAGCTTCCGAAAGTCAACAGGGTAGAGAAAAACTATGAATATTTCTGCTTGCCACTTAGGCTCAAATAATATAATGTGCCATGATCCTAAAAGAGGCAAGACGCCAGTTACCATCTAAACCTGCCTGTTTCTGCCCACTCGTCTCCCCCTTCTCTTCCTGTGCTCACTGTTTTAGGGCACACAAGCTCCCTTCCTGTCTCTCTAAATCAAGAGGATCATGACAGCCTCAGGCTCTTTGCACTTGCTGTTTCCCAGATCTCTACACAATTCACTCATTCTCATCATTCATGTCTTATTTCCAAAGTTCTCACTGCTAGGTATACACTCAAAGGAATGAAAATCATCCTGTCGAAGGGACACCTGCACTCCCATGTTTATCAAAGCTCTATTTACAATATTCAAGGAGTTGGAAGCAACCTAAATGTCCATCGACAGATGATTGGACTGGATAAGGAAAATGTGGTGTGTGTGTATACACACACACACACACACAATGGAACACTATTTTGCCATAAAAATAATGAAATTCTGCCATTCATAGCAACATGGATGAGCTCAGAGAAAATCACATTAAGTGAAATAAGGCAGGCACATGAAGAGAAATACCACATTTTCACTCATAAGTGGGAGCTAAAAAAGTAAACAAACAAATAAATACAAAAGAAAGAAAGATATAACAATCACAATAATATGCTGAATTTTAAAAGGAGAGAACGGGACTGTGGTTAGTAGAGGTGGGAAAGGGGGAGGGGAAAGGGAGAGGGGAAGGGGGGTTAGCAAGAAATTGGTAAAGAGTCACAAAGAATGGTTACGTTTTGTAATGATGAATATACTAATTATCCTCATCTGATCATTACATATTGTACACAGATACTGATATTCAACTCTGTATCACATAAATATGTATAATCAATTTTGTTTATAAAAAGCAAAAACAAAAACAAAAAACAAAGTTCCCTTTGGTGAGAGGCTACTCCAACCGCTCTCTATAAAGTAGCTACTCCCCAAAACATGTTACTATCACATTAATCTGTATTATTTTCCACCCATAATTTCACTAGTTGAAATTTTGATTTGTTTGTATACTTGCGTGTGTCTCTCTACTAGAAGGCAGGGCTTTCGTCTGTCTTTTTAACCTTCTAGACCAGTGCCTGGCCCAATAGACACACAATAAAGATTTGTTGAATGAATGTATTCCTTGTTAAGCTATAGTAGTCATCTTTAAGGAATAAACTTTCCATTTAGATTCTGTAATTACAACCACATAAATAAACATTTATTGCACCCCATATTTTCTTTTTTTTTTCCTTTTTGTCTTTTTTCGTGTCCGGCAACGGATCGCAACCCTCAGTGTCGCGCCCGCACCAGACCGGGACCAGCAACAGGATGGCAACCCCCGGTGCCGCGCCCGCACCTCGCTCAGCCAGTGAGTGGGAACCAGTCTGTATGTGGGATCCTTTTTTTTTTCCTTTTTTGTCTTTTTTCGTGTCCGGCAACGGATCGCAACCCTCAGTGTCGCGCCCGCACCAGACCGGGACCAGCAACAGGATGGCAACCCCCGGTGCCGCGCCCGCACCTCGCTCAGCCAGTGAGTGGGAACCAGTCTGTATGTGGGATCCGAACCCCCGGTGGGAGCGCCACCACGCTCCAAAGGGGCGCACTGTAGCAGTGCGCCACCAGGCCGGCCCGCACCCCATATTTTCACTAGGCCCTCTCATGATAGGGATTTCATAGCCATTATTCATTTGAAATTTATTGAAAAGAACATGACACTGATAGTCAAGATTCCTAGATGCTAGTCTCGATCCCGCCACTAACTGTAAGAAACTGCAACTTTGAGTCCAGTAATTCCATTCCTAGAAATTTACCTCAAAGAAAAAATTGGACACATGCACAAATATATATGCACCAGGATGCTCATCACCCAGTGTACTTACAATAGCAAAAATAGAAAAATAATTTACACAGTAGGTCTTTGGCTAAATAGACTGTGGTATATCCATCAAAGTCACACTATGAATTCACATGAAAATGATGATTATATTCATTTTACTACACAATAAATGTTTATTGAGCGCTTACCAATTTCGGGCACTGTTTTAGGTTCTGAGAATACAGCAGTGATGAAACAAAGTTTCTATGCTCTTACACCTGATATTTTGATGGCGAAGAAAGACAATAAAAAATAGATAAATAAATATACTGTGTAAGATGCTTTCGGATCAGAAGTTCTATGAAGCAAGGACAACCCATAGCATGGGATTTGGGGGCATGCTATTGTGTACAGAGTGGCCCAGGAAGATCTGTTTGAGGTGATCACATTTGACCAGAGACCTGAAAGAAGTGAGGAAGTGAGGCATAAGAATATCTATGGAAAGAGTGTTCAAGGCAAATACAGTGAATGACTTTGAGGCGGGAGTGTGCTTGGCAATTTTGTAGGGCCTTGTGTAGACCATGGGGAGGATGTCAGATTTTATTCTAAACGTGATAGAAAGCTGTGGAGAGTTTTGAATAGAGGAATAATAAGACCAGTCTTGTATTTTAAGACAGTGTAGTTAAACAGACTTAAGGGAAGACTGAAGAGGAAACAAGGAAATCAGTTAGGAGGCTATTTCAGAAGTCCGGGTGAGAGATAGTCGTGGCTCAGTAGCAGTGAGGATGGTGAAAATTACTCATATTTGGAACTTATATATTTATTTTTAAATATAACTAATGGAACAGGCTAGTATGGTTGTTTCGGTGGAGTATGGGAGAAAAAGGAGGAAAACATCACTCCCTAGATGTGAGCCTCCGCAACTGGGTGAAGAGCAATTGAGTAGAGGTGTCTAATACTGTTGGATATGCGGGTATGCAGTACAGAAGAGAGGGTGCTCCAGGGCCTGCATGACATTACCTAGATGTATCACCTGGATGATACCTGACTGCGAAGTGGCTAGTGGGTAGTGGTCAGTTGAGTCCTCGGGCAATCCAAATGATGAAATGTGCCTAATGCTACAGACAGGTAGAGTAAAATAAGGGCTGAGAATGACCACTGGAAGTCACTTGTGTGAGTCATATTGGTGTCAGGGGTGGGGAGAAAAGCATGATTGAGGTATGCTCAAAATTGCATAGATTTCTTCAGTGAATAAATTAATGGGAGTGGGGGGATTAAGATGGGGGAAAGGAGCCTATAGATTAAAAGGTAATTAAAAGATACATCAGTCAGTAGAAAAGGGTAGACCTTATTTGGAACCCGAGAGAATGAGAATTCAGATACTGAGCTGATATTTGATGATATTAAAGAATTATTAATTTATTTTAAATGAGGCAATGGTTCTGTGGTTATGTTATGTTAAAAAAATAAATTTTTATCTTTTAGAGATGCATGCTGAATATTTATAGATAAAATGATGTCTATAAACATAATCGTGGAAGTTGGATGATGAATATATTCTCTACTTTGTATATGTTTGGAATCCTGCATAAATTTTAATAAAATGAAAGCAAAGAATCTTACTTTTAAAGAGGTAAAGTTGAAAACTTTTATCAGAATAACAATCTTTTATATGTGCAGCATGCTCTTTATAAGACTACCACCAATTCGGAAATTTATGACACTCCAAAAGAAAACGTTAAGTCTCTCTTTTTTAAAATTTGGTAATTTGTTTCCTGTAAATCTTATAATAGACATCTCTGAATTTCTAAATGAAAATAAAAATGATTGGATGACGAAGAAATGGAGATTCAGAACATATTATTGATTCCCAATCATGGGCACAAATATTATCAGATTAAACAATATATAAATAGCAGACAAGAGTCCAATTTCATTTTTTAAACATTGTTTTTGACACAGGAATTAGAGTTAGTATCGTTTTTTAAAATACTGCTTATTATTTTCGAATTTTTATGCAAGGCATAATATCTTATTTAATTTTAAGTGTTAAAAAAAGAAAAAGAGAAAGGAACAGAGGCAGCAGCTGCTACTTTTACTAACTGAAAGTACAAAGAGACCCACTCCAAACCCTGCAGGGTTCTATACCTCCCTAAGAGGTGCTGGAGAGGCGGGCGGAGGGACGGTCAATGGAGAATATGCGCAGGCGCAATAGCAAGCCATAAGCCTGAGGCGGGACTATAGCCTCGGTTAAAGGACAGCTCTCACAGCCAATCAAAGGACAGCACCGGAGGCTTCTTTCCAGAGCTGTAGACCGGAAGTCGGATTTCAGCTGCGGTGGCGAAGGCAACTACCCCCGTAAACCAAAAGCTGAGGTGAGTGGGCGGCGACGATTTGGGACCCTTGTTGGCGTGCGTTTCTCCTTCCGGGGGCCGGGCTGGGAACGGGGGAGGCCTGGCGAGGTTCGGCCCCCGCGGGCGCTCGCCCGCCTTCCTCTCCCCGTCCCTGTGGGAGCGCGGCCTCCCCGCCGCTCGCGGAGGCCCCGGGTTGGACCTCTGGGCGGAAGGTGTCCAAGGCGCGGCCGGCGCCGGGCTTCCCCCGGGTGGAGGTTGGGAGCGCCCGCGCCGCTGGTTTTCTAAGTTGTGTGACCTGGGCGGGTCACCTGCTCGTTCCCGCCCTTGGTCAAGTGAGGAGAACATCCCGGCTCCTCTCCTTGTGGGAGCAGTTGTGAAATAGCTGAGTTCATGGGGCGTGGGGAGGGCGTAGATCCCAAGTATCAAAGTCACGTTCATCTGGAGAAGTTTTAAAACTGACATTCCGGCGGCCCCGTTCACGGTAGACAACATGAGTCATATTTCAGGGGGTAGGACCCTGGAATACCTTTCTTTTGGTGAAGTGTCCACCCCCACATCCCACTCACCCTCTGTGGGGCAAGCTGGAAGGTGGGTCTTGAGTCTGAGAATCGGCTATCCTGCTTGGTGCTGGTTTTACTAAAATAATACGTCTATCGCCTTTGAAAATTTCAATCGAGAGAGGTATAGAGAAACCATGTAATGTGTCAAGTTCTTATTGTACAGTTAGAAGCTTCATGGTTTAGAGATTTGAGAGAGCTTGAGCTTTGGAGCTGAAGAGGACCTGGGAGAAGAATTCCTGTTATGCTGTTTACTAGTCGTTTAATCTGGTCCGCGCTTCCCCTCGTTGACGGTTGGGATCCTCATCTCTAAAATGAAACTGATGATAGTACTCAATTCAGAATTGTTATGAAGACTACATAAGAGAGGGTATAAAACAGTGGTGCCTGTCATATAGTAGGCCTTCGGAATAACAACTTCGATGGAGGAATGCACATGGTATAGAGAAGCACAGAACAGAACTCCCAATCTAAAAAGCCTTCAGTGGGCTGAAACCTGGAATATCTAAAATTTTATCTTGAGGTACCAGATCGAAGGTAATTCCTTGATTTTGGTAATTATGCCGTGGTTAGAAGAGAACATTCTTGTTTTGGGAATACGCACTGAAGTAGTTAGGGGTAAAGGGATGAGAGACCAATAAAGCAGATGAGGGAAAAAAATAACATTTGGAGAATCTGAGTGAAGAATGTAAATTGTTCTTTGCATATTCATACAACTTTTCGGTGAATCTGAATTGATGTTAATTAAGAGTTTTAAAAAGTTGCAACTATCTGCAACTAAAGCATGTTACATGTAATTGAAACAATACACAAGTGTTTATAAACACTCTCCTACCCTTTTTCTCTTAATGGATGTATAGTATTTTATAGATATGTATGTTATCCAGCCCTCATATTGATGAAGGAATGTATTGTTTACAACTATTCCTACTCTTTTCAAACACTGCTGCACTAAACATCCTTGTATACATCTGTGTATACTTGTACCAGTGTTTTTATAGGATAAATTTCTAGAAGTGGAATTGTTAGTTCAAAGAATATTAGTGCTTAAAATTTGATATTGCCAGATTAAATTCCAAATATACAGCTGTGCACGGCATAAGAACATTTTGGTCAACAGTGGACCACATATACAACAGTGGTCCCATAAGATTATGTTGCTGGAGGTGTGTAGTAGGCTATACCATCTAGGTTTGTATGAGTGAGTACATTCTATGATGTTTGCACAATGACAGAATTGTCTAAAGAAGCATTTCTCAGAACATGTCCCTGTCATTAACTGACGTGTGGCTGTATGTATTTGTTTTCTTTTCCATGAGTTGTGTATGAGAACTTCCCAGTATTCTCTTGGAAGGTATTGGCCTAGCATCTAAGAGAATTATGCAGTAGTTGTGATAGTGGCTTTTATTGTGAGAGGTGTAGTGAGTGAGTGCTCTCCACCTCAGAAGGCTTCCCTGCTGTGCTAGAATAGCCAAGGGCCTGTTTCTAAAACTGGGATGACCACTGTGAAGAATTTGAAAGAAGAATGTGACCTCTGGGATCTAGAGCCTGACACATAAGAGGGGTTCTGATATTTGTTGAATGATGGAATATTTGAAATCTTGATAGTCCGTTATATTAAAAAATCTCTGTTAAAGCATGGTGTTATAACACCAAAATCAAGGGTTCACATCCCCGTACTGGCCAGCTGCCAGTAAGACAAATGAAAAAACCAAAGCTCTGAGGCACACCAACATTAAAGTTTGAAGAGGCAGAGGCAGTAAAGGAGACTGAGAGGGAGTGGCCAGTGAGGTAGCAGAAAGACATGAATGTTGGAGGTGAGGGAGGACAGGAGTGTGTTGAGAAGGAAGAAAGCCCTGCTGAGAGAGTAAGGGGAACTCAGAAAAATACCCATAGGATTTGGTCATGTGGTGATTCTTGATGACTTTGAGCAATTTTACTGGAGCGGTAGGGAGTTGAAGCCAGGTTGAATGACATAAGTAAATGTACAGGTGAATTGTGGGTTGGTTTAGTTGCAGTAACTCATGTTGTCCATGGCTACTGCCCCCTTGACTCTCAGCATCATTCTGTGCACCACTGTGGCTTGGTGGAAACTCAGGGCTGCCTCACAGCTGCCCTGATGACCTCACAAATTCTGAGTATAATATTGCTTTCAGTTTGTTACTTGTCCCACCTCATGTTGGAGGATATATCCTGACATTCTGATAAGATCAGTCTAAAAGCACTAGAAAATGATACATTTAGGCTTTAAATGTAATAAGTAGAGGTTATTGAGGTCATAGGAGATACTGGGTTTAAATTTGGGTTTGAAATTTTTGTGGTAGATGTAGAAAGGTCATTGTGTCCATATAAAATTGTAATGTACACTGTGGAAAAAAGTACGGAATTGGATCTTTTCATCAGGAACGTTGGATAATACCAGGTGGGTGGTATTTAGCAATGCCAGTTTTTTCCAGGTGTTTGAGTTATAAGTGTTTGCTTTTTGGAAGTCAATCTATAATATAAAACGAAAGTGATTGTGACATGAGATTGGGAGACAGCATGTGTAGCTTGGCTATAGAGAGGAGTAGAGAAATGGAGCATAACTGGTGAGGGGTGTAGAATCCATAAGATTTTTTTCATAGATGAAAAGATTCTACAGCATATTTTTTATGCTGATGAAAGTATTAAGGAGAAAAGGAAAAATATGTGAGTAGTTGAGGATGTAATTCCTAATTAGAAAAAGATGGCAGCCTTTCACTGTTGTAAATGTTAGTTTTAGAAACTAAGGCGATCATCTTGTCCAGGGCCCCAAACTGCCATAAGAAAAGGAAGAAAATATTGTCTCTGTAGTCAGCAAATGTGACAGGTTTGTTTTGTTGCTCTCCTTTAAATCTTTGGTCTGTTTCTGTAGGTTCTTGATCCTCCACAATGGGTGAACCACAGCAAGTGAGTGCACTTCCTCCACCTCCAATGCAGTACATCAAAGAATATACAGACGAAAATATTCAGGAAGGCTTAGCTCCCAAGCCTCCGCCACCAATAAAAGACAGTTATATGATGTTTGGCAATCAGTTCCAATGTGATGATCTTATCATCCGCCCTCTAGAAAGTCAAGGCATTGAACGGCTTCATCCCATACACTTTGATCATAAGAAAGAACTGAGAAAACTCAATATGTCTATCCTTATTAATTTCTTGGACCTTTTAGATATCTTGATAAGGAGCCCTGGGAGTATGAAACGAGAAGAGAAGCTAGAAGATCTTAAGCTGCTTTTTGTACACGTGCATCATCTTATAAATGAATACCGACCCCACCAAGCAAGAGAGACCTTGAGAGTCATGATGGAGGTCCAGAAACGACAACGGCTTGAAACAGCAGAGAGGTTTCAGAAGCACCTGGAACGCGTAATTGAGATGATTCAAAATTGCTTGGCTTCTTTGCCTGATGATTTGCCCCACTCAGAAGCAGGGATGAGAGTAAAAACTGAACCAATGGATGCTGATGATAGCAATAATTATACTGGACAGAATGAACAACAAAGAGACAATTCAGGTCATAGGAGAGACCAGATTATAGAGAAAGATGCTGCCTTGTGTGTCCTAATTGATGAAATGAATGAAAGACCATGAAGGATGTTTTTCTATTTTTCTTTTGGTGAATAGCATCATATATTAGTTTATTTTGTTTTGGACAGTCTTAAAAGAGGTGTAAGTAAAAATGTAAACACCTTTTATCTTGACTGTCCAAGTTTTCTGGTTAGGAGATGTCATGGGCAGTAATTTCACTGTGTAACAAGAGTAGGCATATGAGTACCCCTGCATTAAGAATAATCACCTTAAAAAGCAAAGTGTTTCCTGCTGTAGTGTGGGACATTCCTATTTTTGGAGTTATAGTAAAACCTCGAAGATATCCTCAATAATAGCAAGCCTTCATCCTTGAAAAGTAGATATTTCATTTGCTTTAAAGATAATAAAGGGGGCCGGCCCGGTGGTGCACTGGAGAGTGCGCCGCTTGGGAGCGTGGCGGCGCTCCCGCCGAGGGTTCGGATCCCATGTGGAGACCAGTTCCCGCTCACTGGCTGAGCGCGGTGTGGGTGCAACACCAAGGGTTGCGATCCCGTTGCTGGTCCCCAGTACGGGCGTGACACCGAGGGTTGCGATCCCATTACCGGTCAGTAAAAAAGACAAAAAAAAGGGGGGAAAAAAAAGATAATAAAGGATATCAAGCTGTATAAATGTGAAATTATGAAATCTTTAGACATATTCCATTAAAAATTTTGCTTAATCTCCAAAAAAGTAGTGTAACATGTTAAAAGAGAGGTGCCCAGTAGAGTTATAAAACAGGAACTTTATTTTTCCTCGTGACTGTCCCTGTAAACCCACCATCTCAGCCCCTTCTCCTATCCTAGACGGAATCCTGGGTGTGGGGTTAATGGTCCCATTAGTTTTTTGTTTAGTCACTCAGGTAATAAGTCCTTTGGTCATTTTAGTTATAAATATTCATTTTAAGATGGCTATGTAATTAACTACACATTTTCTTTAAAGCTAAGCTTAGACTTGCTTAAGGCTGGAATCCTGCAATGGGAAAAGAGTTTGGTGGCAGATACTGCTAGATGTCTACTAAAGATTCTTGTTTCCCTTTGAGATGTGTTACTGAGCTATGGCTACCCAGCCATGGACTATTTCCCCACTGTCCTTGCATCTGTGTGAGGCCATGTGACAAAGTTCTGGGCAGTGGATTATGGGTGTAGGAATCCAGGCCTATCCCATAAAAATTTCTTGCATGATCCTCCATTCTCTTCTTTCAATCTGTTGGTTGGATGGCCACAGCCGAAATAACTTTGGAAGCTACTTGAAAATGGCAAAGATTCAGTGAGTTTGAGTCCTTTAATGACTGTAAGGACCAGGTCCTCTTGTTCACTCCTCTTCCCCCAGCTAATTTGACTTTATGTGAGCAAGAAATAAACTTGTTTTGAGTACTGAGACTTTATTTCTGCACTTTCTTCTCTTCCCCCTCTACCCTTCCTCCACCAAGGTTTTGGTGGAGAGCTGGCCTTATATCTGAGGACCTCTACCTGCCATTCTCTTAATGTAGGCCAGTGGTTCTCAGTGGTCTTGGACCAGCAGCATTAGCATCACTTTGGGACTTGTTAGAAATGAAAATTCTTTGGACCAACCCCAGACCTTCTGAACCAGAAACTCGGAGGGTAGGACCCAGCAAGCTGTGTTTTTAACAAGGCTTCCGTGATTCTGATGCATGGTCAATATTAGGCACTACCGATGGAGGCAATACCTTTTCCCAGATGTCCACTTTTGATTCCTCCCTGAGCCCCAGGTTTCTAGCATAGGGATTTGTTCCATAAAGGTGTCATTGGCCGTGGAGATTAAAATGTTTAAAATGGCTGCAGGCCAATTCTCCTAGGTGAAAGATTCATCCTTTTCCTTTACAAATCTTGGGAATGTAGGCTGTTCCCAAGTATACACCTCTTCATCAAATAGCTAGTTGACCAATCTCAATTTTTGCTTTTTTCTGGTATGTGTTTGCTATAGACCTTTGGGTTCCAGAGACTCCAGAGGAAAGAGTCCAGGCACTCTCAAGCTTCAATTGAAGTGGGGAGCACTCCCCATCCCCCTGTGAGGGAGCAGGAAGAGTCACAGTAATTTGTATATGAATTTATGTGTTGGGGGGCAGAACACTGAGGGATTAAAATGCCATAAGCAATGTTCAATTTAGGCCTGTGGAGGATCTGATCTTGCAGGTCTGTGAGTGGGACCTGACATACACTCTTAAAGGGTTCTGATGTGAACTCTTGCTATTAACAGTGGAATGAAGATGCGTTAATGGTCTCATAGTTGCCACAGGTTTAAAAGCTTATACAAGGTCTTTTAGTCATATAAGGATTAAAATACATCTCTGCACATTTGCTCATAATGAACAATCCTGAAAGATTGATTCATGAAAGTGAAATAATCTGGAAGAATCCCCTGAGTAGTTCTTAAAATGACCAATGTCCAGGCCCCAGATTTTGATTTCATTTTTCTGAATTGGGGCCCTGGCATTCGTTTTAAGAAATCTGCAGGTAATTCTCCTGTGCAGTGGTTAAAGAGTGTTGCATTAATCTGTGCTGTATTATTGGTGACAAAAACCCTACTTGAAGTAGTTTAAGCAAAAAGATGAATTTGTTGAAAGGATATGGGGTGTTATTTGATTGAAGGATAAGTTGAACATCGAAACTGAGGAGGATAGAAAGGGTCTAGGTGGAGTTTTAGTTGGTTGCCTTGGATACCCTCCCTGTTAACTTCATTCTCTTTACAAACCAACTTTTTAAATGATGTAGATGGAGAACATGGCTGGTAAAAGTTCCCAAGTGTTAAATCTTTCTGTGTCTACCACTGTTTGGGAGTTATTTGTGAAATACAAACTTAAAAAAAAACCGAGGGAAAGCTAGCCAGCTAAGCATGAGGAATTAGGGTTTGCATACCTGATTCCAAATGGCCAATCAGCTGGGATGTAGATCTTGTAAGAACTGACAGTCCCCGCTATGTCCATGTATGGAAGAGGCAGTCCATCTCAGAGGAAGGAAGGAGTGCTGAGTTGACAATACTGTAAATATCCCCTCAAGTTAAGCACATGTAAACTTTTGATAGAAAAAAAATAGATTGTACAAATTTATATTCCCCTCATCTATATAAGAGTAGTTTTCCCCTGACCATTCATTTATTCACTATATTAATTTAATGAATATTTATTGTGGCCCTCCACACTGATTTGGGTGTTGGGTGTGTGGGGAGTGGGAAGGAAAATGGAAGATAATAAAAAACAAAGGAGCTAATTTTTGAAGATAGTAAGTTCTTGCCTTAACCACCCAGCCATTACAGTACCCTCAGAAGAATCCTTCAAATTATGTTTCTTTTGTCTACTCAAAACATATTATCCACATTATCTTCTCTTTTCAAGGTATGTTTATATGTTCACATTTGTTAAGGGCTTTAGAAGGCAATTTTAACTCATGCTGTATTTGAGTAAAGATCTATGCTGGGTGCTAAGGTCACTGGAACAGCAAGTGCAAATGTCTCATGAAATAAAAAGTTGGCATGATTTGAGGATAAAAACTATTACGGCTGCAATGTAGTGAGAGAGGAGGTTGAAGCTAGATAAGTGGATGGAGGGCAGACATACACGATTTAGAGGGCCAAGGGAAGGAGTTCAGTTTTTATCCTAAATCTGATGGGAGGTCAACTGCAAACACATACAGCAATTGCTGGCATTGTTCTAATCACTTTACATACATAAAGTGTTTTATCCTCACAACGCAATAAAATCAATATTATTTTTATACCCATATTACAGATGGGGAAGTGGAGGCTCAGAGATATTATGTAACTTACCCAAGGTCACCCAACCAGCTAGTGGCAGAGCCAGGATTGAAGCCAGGCATCTTGGTTTCAAAGACTAAGTACTCAAACTTCCCTACGTTAGTGCCTGTCTGTTCTATCATATTGTTAATAAGTCATATAGGTAAATAAGTAGTTGAAGCCAAGAGTGGGATCCAGAATTTTGACCCTAAAGTTCATGCTCATAAATACATGATACAGGACTGAAGTCTCTGTTGGCAATGCTTAATTACTATGGCAGGAAAGCAGCATAGACAATATGTAAATAAGAGCACTATGTTCCAATACAAACTATATATGGACTGAAATTTGAATTTCAACAATTGTCACTTGTGAAATATTTTTTTTTTGGATCTTTTTTCAACCAATTAAAATGTAAAAATCATTCCTAGTTGTGGGAATACAAAATCAGACAGCAGACTGGATTTATCTGGTGGACCATAATCTAAGTGGTTTGGATCCTATGCTCTGGGGTGTTTTCACAAACCTACTAATAAAAATCACAGAAATAAAAATTATAGAAACTTCTTCAAAGGCTTGTTCAAGGATTAATAGAGATAATGGCTGGCTGGTTAGCTCACTTGGTTAGAGCATGGCACTGACAATACCAAGGTCTGGGGTTCAATCCTTGTACTGGCCAGCCGCCAAAAAAAAAAAAAAAAGAATGACTGGCTACAAAGCCCTTTGCACAATGCCTGGTACTACATAGTAAGCTATCAAAAGTCAACTGGTATCCTTCCAATTGAGTCTTTTTTTAGAAGTTTTATTTTTACTTGACAAATAATTATATATTTATGGAGCACAACGTGATATTTCTATACACGTATACCCTACTGAATTAACGATTTAAGAACTGGTTTCAAATTTGCAATGTGATGAGGCTACCAGTAAGTGGCACTCTTACCTCAAGTTTAAGAGTCTGTAGCCAGTTACAGAGGAGGAGGGGCACCCAGAGGCACTGCTTATGATACCCTGACTTACAATACCTTAACTCTGGGGTTAGTATCAGAATGAACTGAATTATTAGATATCCAGTTGGTATCTGTTGATCAGAGAATTGATTGGTGTTGAAAAACACCCCAGAATGCTAAAATTTGGGCTGTACTATTTAGTTGTGTAGCTTTGCTTTGGCATGTTAACATCCACGAAACTATTTCCTTAGCTGTGGTAATTAATAGTACCCATCACATAGCGTAGGTATCATCTAACATTGGGAATGAAAGAGAAAACCCAACCTAGTGCTTTCTGAAACTCATTTGCCCCCAATCAACATAGTCAGGTCTCAGACTGCTAACCATCTGTGTACAACCATCTGATCTGAAAGGGCTGCGGGGGTGCCCAGGAGGTTTAAGTGGTGCTTAAGCCTGGGGCTCTGAGTTACCACTACTTTCAGAGGAGAGTGATTAAAAAAAAAGGAGGAAGGCACAAATAATCAATAGCAGAAATGAAAAAGGGACATTACTATAGATATTACAGATGGTAAAAATAAGAAAATATGGATAACTATCTCAATAAATTTGAA